GACGTCACAGTTTTACGCCTGTCGTTCATGGCTTTCTTAGGTCACAGCGAGATGTGTTCGGCTACCTGTTTTATCTGACTCGCTTACAGCGGTATGGGGGTCGAGGCTAAAGCATTGCGGGCTATACAAAAGCCATTCTGAAATACTTTAGTCTGTTTTGGTTGATCCTGTCCTATCTGGCTTAGACAAAGATACACACGCATTTCAACTGACAATTAATACCCATTGTTCTTACGACATGACTCACCAGAATATCACACAAATGCCATCAACCTCACGCCCGACTAGGTTATGTCCGATTGCACCCCTCAAGCGAGCCCATACAAAAGGTGGTGCACGAATTTGCGGCGGTAAATGATGTTGAAAAACATCACGCAATACTTCGTCGTCCAAAGATAAGATCTCGACCAATTCAGCCTCACTCAATCCTCCTCGTGACGCGGTTATATATGCAAGCGCGTGCGAAGTCTGACAAGAAACATTCGAGACAAAAGATTTTCCAATATTAAGACTACATAATATCAATATATTCAAATCAATATATCCCACGGTATCTGACACGCTCACATCAAAGAATATTGGCCGATTTCGATGTATACGGTCAAGCAACTAATTAATGCTCGAAGTGGGAACATCTCAGGTTGGGGTGTGATGAGAACTCAAATCATACGGCAGCTCGCTTGCATCCGATGTCACGTGATTGACCGGCCTGCCTATCGACCTTACCAGGATTGACAGACCTCAGGATAGTTGATCTGTATTTCACCCTGTAAATCGAGTTGACGTAAAAACAGTCATCCCGCTCCAGTTCAGTGACTTGTGTTCTTCACAAACCAATGGAGCACAGTTATATCACAGAATGACCAAAACGTTGTTAAAAAATGAAGCGAATGTAAAGTTTTGACATCAAAAATTCTCCGAAACAGGTGAACAGATTAGGACCGAATAAAAAGCCAAACGTGAACTTATCACAACCTTTGATGAGCCAGCTATTGATGCCCGTAGATGATTAAAGTTTTTAACAACAGTATTCTTTGAGACAATTTCAGGGCCTTTTTTCTTTTTAGATCTTCAAGCAAGGCTACTGTATATATATTCACCGATAAATATTGATTTCTTGGTTGTTGTTCCCGATATGCTGCGATTTCTGATTGGTCAATCCGCTCTATCCTGCACGCTTTCACGCATAAAGCTTAGCAGCTTCACCTCTTGATTGACGTTCGACACATTCTCGTCGATTTGTTCTTTACTGGTTGCATTATGCTCTTAGTCCCCGTGCACTCAATCCTGCTTTGTCTTCTTTCTTTTCTGCGATCGCTTCATCAGAACCGTCAAAACCCTTCTGTTTGCAGTCGCTTGTTAAAATGCAGCTAAATCTTTTCACCATGAGGGCAGATCTGGCATGGGGGTACAGGAAACTTAGCTATGTCTGATCCTGAGGTGCGTGCACCGCATACTACCTGGATCGATTTTCTGCCTGTCCACTGACTGACGTGCACTTTTCGATCAATATTTCGCCAGTAAATCATTTCTATCTCGTGAATCTGTCTAGCGAATAAGTTTTGCCCAGCAATCACCATTTTTCAAAGTGGAAATTCGTCATGTAAATGGCAAATGAAGCTTGAACTGAAAAGCTAGGAAGTACCGGACGGCTGTTTCGGCCTGATCGATCTGATCAGCAGTGGGGATCCATCGACCCAACTGGGGATCGAACCCGGGCCTCCATAGGCGGAACGCAAGCATGCTACCCGGGCAGCTGACCAGATAGCTTTTCGTTTTCCATTTACACGATATAGCACAACCTATTTTTGCGAGCTTGTTGCAGGCCAAAGACCTCACTCAACTCAGTACTAGCCTCCGAGATTATGACTCGGTTGGAAGCAATCACAACCTGACTACTTATTTCATGTGAGTAATAGATGATTCGCTTCAATTTTAAAGTGGAAATTCGTCGTGTCTATGGTAAATAACAAATTTCCACTTAGAAAGTGAATCAATTTCTCCATTACTCACATGGAATTACCATTTTTGTCAGATAGAGTTGGATGGGCCGGTTTAAATTATTTTATTTATCTGGTTAGTCATTTTACAATCTCATGTGTTTCTGAGAGATAAATCAATGAAATCAAGACCGGTTAATTACTCATGCCAGCATTCGACAAGGTTTGGAGTATGATAATTTAAAAGGGATTTACCATGTGAACTGTCGCATATGAGGATGTGGGTTGGTTGATACCGCTGATAGATAATAAGGGATTGTTTGCTTTACGATGGGTGGTCATTATCGGGGTGAATTTTGAATTCGACAAATCAGGAGATAGTTATCATCTTTATTTTGATTGAGGAGGGTTGCGCGCGATGACCGAAATGTTAACATCGTATTCTTTCGCCGGGTTGTGAAATGATTTACCCACCCACACTTGCAAAAGAAGCTTTTGATGGTCAACCTTTTTCCTTACATCATGAACAGAGTGGCATACAGCTAGTGAACTGCTAACTCACGGGTATAATCACATCGACAAACATCAAACATTAAACGACAGAGTTTTATAACTTTGCCCATGGACTACTGGTTTCACTGCTGGAGAAAAAAGTTTGTCCGAAAATCTATCTATAGACACGTGTCATTGAATTGAATGACAGAACAAGGATTTGTTTCTATACCTCTTCAACTTCAAGTGGATTCAACCCATTGCACGCTACCAGAGATCCAACAAAGTGATTGGTCCTTCTGCCGTCACACTTCACTAATTGGGCCGGATCTATCGAAATCCCGTCCCGTCGCAGTGAACTGATTTCTCCATAGATAAACAAAGTACTTTTTGAGTAAGTTACTGAGCTAGGGTGAAAGTTCCGGTGGGATAAGGGTTAGCTGTTTCCAGTGATGTTCGCAGACGTTTCGTAGCCAAGCTAGGTAACATCATCAGTGCGACGTCGCCCTGATTAACTTTGGGGATAACAACATTTTTGCTTGTTTACGGTATGAGTAAGTAAGTAAGTATTTTCTTGTGTTTTACTATTGCGGTCGAGCAAAAGAATTCACATCATTGATAGCAGTTCGATGCCCTTTCCCCACAGTGTCTCCAGTCAAAGAAAAATTCGAAGTCTGTGAGGCACCAGTCGGGGAGCCCCAGCGGAAGCCAAAATCGAGTACAACCTATTCAATCGTCTATGCCGTGTCATAGCCTGTACACTTCGCCATTTGTTCCAGCCCGGACTAATGTCTAAAAATAGCACATGGTATGGCAAACGTTGCTGAGGCATTCACAGGCCGTGCACTAGCCACCTAAGACAATGCCGTTAATGCTCAGACTATCTGACATTAACATAGGTTGTCTGACTTCATCGTTAATCACGCGATGCTCCCACCGTACGCGGGCGATGCTGCGCAGACAGACAGTCGTTGGACATGATCTGCTCAGAGAGACTAGGTTTCGTAACCGTAGAGCCACACGGCGCGTAACGTTGCGCAATACACATGCAATTTGAATAAAGGGAATATGTCGCACCGGAGCCAGAGATGCTGCAGATTAGCAAAATACAATCTACTTTTGATGTCACAATCAAGGTTTGGTACAAATTAGTTATTTTATTTGGTGAGACCTAAATTACAACGCATAAGCCAGACCCATTTTCACAATAACTCGGCGATTATCACTGATTTCACTTTCCTCCGATTACTCGGTATTCCTCTTGCCAATACCATTGATTTCCGCATAATCAACAAGGAGGGTGAATGTAGAATGGAAATATCTGTAAACCGGCCATGTCGTACATTGAATACCGGACAAAGAGAACATTTATAATGAGTAGTATATGAATGAATGACTGAACAGTATTTCCCAGAAGCATACGATCGGTTTCGCGGTCCTTGTCGCTCGTCAGATATGCTTATTTGGTAATCTTCTGCCAGATTATTCTTATACCTGAACTCCCGGTGTGAGTTAAGCAATGGAAATCTCATTTGCAGCTTAAGAAGTGAGTTTGAGGTGAATAAGTTTCAAAGAATCAATGCAGCTATTCTGTATCAGCTGTTGTGGGTTAGATGCGTCCAACCTCAGCCGGTCGTGAGCTTCTAGGAAATTTTGTCCAATCATCTATAAAATACTCATTGAAGAAACAGAAAATCGGCCCTGGCGTCGAGTTGACCTAGGTTAACTGTATCAAACCCACAACACCTGATACAGTATCATCGGGGTAGGTCTTCGAGACTTGTTCGTCTCAAATCCACTCATGGAGCTGTAAATGTGATTTGAGTTGTATAAAGGGAACATTTAGTTTGAATTGTGCAAATCGCGTGGATGATCTAATAACGGGATGTGTTTTCGGGTGAATCTGATTGTGATTGAAGTGTTGTTGGTGGTGGTGATGTTGGGACCAGGGTAAATGGAGAGCTTGAACCAATCGCTTTTGCGCACACAGCTCTAGTGCGAACAGGCGAATGACTATCGTCTCAGCGGTGGCTAGTGTGTATTAGCGCACAGGGGTTGGGGGGCATACGACAGCTTACGCTAAAAGTGGATTCTGGTCTAATTTGATGGCCTGTGTTCACTAGATGACCAAGAATGGCACTTTCTGGGCTTTCTGTTCTTCCTTGTTTTAACCAGCTTGGGTAGTGTTCCTTCATCCGTTGGGATAGTTCCCTCGCCGTGCGGCCAATGAACGTTGCATTAAAAACGCACCGGGAAGAGTAGATAACCATAGAAGTGTTCAGCGTAGGCAGCTTATATTTGTGGCTAGTTCGGATCATGAGCGAGCCTGTGAACACACATGATAATCGAGCTGCATTGTACGTCCGCGTCAAACGTTTTTTTCCAGAGGTCTGATACAGCCTTTTCTTTGAAAAGGTAGACAAATGAATAATTTCTCTCACTGAACCGTTCAGGATAACCGTTTTCTCTTAGAACGTCCTTAAGTTTTGTCAAAGCAGATCTTTTGCGCTCGTGATGTGAGATTATGAATTAGATTTATAGTCTGCAGATGTGGTTTGCATTCTGCGAAGAGACCATTTAGTTTGAACGGAGTAACACACAAAGATTATCGAATAACGGAATGATAACTGAAACTTCCTTTGGAATATGAAAACGTTGCGTTATCTCAAACGGGAAAAAAACAAATCGGATTCTCACGAGAATTTTTCCATGAGAACGTTCCAGTGAGTCGAAGAAACGGATAATGGCGTCACGTAGTGTCAAGGCCAAATCCAAATTGGGCCATTCCTTAGCAGCCTCACGAGCCTCCCGATCGGTGCAGATGGGATTCAGATTTGGCTGATTCTCCGTTTCAGATTTCGCGAATTCCGGTACATGCCAAGAACGCCAGTTTCTGACCTGTTGTTACGAGCAAATCATTGGAGGATAGAGACCCATGAAGATAGAGGTCATTGGGTGTGGGAAACACTTGCCGCGTATTAAGAGAAATCGGGTATTGACTGTGACAAGTTTGCCTTTCAGGCTATCTTCAGGTACTCTCTATATTCCTATTCCCCACTTGAACCATTGCTCTGTGAGGACACAATTCAATCATGAAGCAATTCAGCAATCGCAACTCAGTATCAATCGATTTTATTTGAAATGAACGACTACATGCACAGTAATGGATTTTCTGTGCACAGCAAAAGAAACGGATAACTATATAGTTTGAAAGGAGGTCAACTCTGACCCGTGCTCTTATCCACCTATACTGGATGGGGACAGGTCCTCCTACTCGTTGACCCATTGAAAATTCCAACGTTAAATACACTGTATTTCTTTCGCACTATTATAAAAACACGGAGCCAACCATTGGGGGCAATTTTTCCTGTTGATTTGAATTTTGAAATGGAAGCTTATCCAATTCTGTCGGGAAGATTTAGCAGTCTACTACTCCCGTTTGTTTTTTTCATTCGGGATTCACAAGTTGCGAAAGAAATTCAGCACAATCGACCTCGCTATTAATTTCGAGTATTTTTACATGTTATTATTGAAGAAGAGCAGATTAAAAAAAATGAGAGTGAATAATCTGGAGTGCACTGGACAACCGAGTCGACCTGATTGGTTGGTTGGTTGGTCTCACCAACAGCAATGCAGTTATTTTGTTACGCGGAAAATTTCACGTGCGTTTCTCCCTAATCCAGATGGTCAGTTGGAGGGCTCTCAAAGTACGGTTTTCATCGGGAGATTGTCACTATGGCTATATACTGTGCAACAGAGTTTACTTTTTCAATTGGAAAAAGGAAAGTTGTAGTACATACATGTGATCTTTTTTTAAATATCTTTTTAATTCTTTTTTCATCTGTTGAATATAAAAACCTACAATCAACTTTCAGAAAAGCGGCCTCGGTCACACAAACGCTGCCCGGGGAAACTGCAGAAATGTAGGGAGAAGTGGGCAGCAGTGGAGCAATTCGAACCCGGGACTTCCGGGTCACCAGTTTGATGACCTTTACCTTGACCTTGACCTTGACCACCATCGCCAAGGTAATGCTATTGGAACTGCTGCTTATCGGCAGACCCTTCTACAGTAAACTGTTGTTCAAAAACTGATTCGTAATGAATAACTATTGGGCTCAAGGCCATCTTTCTGGAAAATAAGTGTGACTGAATTCCAAACATTGACATATGATTTGGACAAGTCTTATTAGACCAGTCAGTGGTTATCCTGTTACTTTCTTCTTCTTCTATTGAATTCTCGTATCTCCAATCGCCGGCATACATGGCCTGTTACCAGTGGTGTTCTCCTTGTCCCGATCCCGAGAATAACGGCTTTATGTCAGAATGATGACTTACCACACGATCAACCAGGACCACGAAAAATGTCAATCGGCACTTTTCAAATGCTCGTCGAACCAAACGCCACTGGAACGGTTGTAGTGTTCGATTACGATTTGCCAATCGGGCTCTCAAGATAACCTCGCACGTGTCACTATCCAGTGACTGTACTTCGAGAAAATTCGATCTGGTTTGCCGCGTGCTTTGCTCGGCTTCCGAAACCGGGGCCACCATTTCATCATCTTGCGTCTGTTCTCTGTTGCAAGCGGGGATAGGAAAAAGTTCACAAAAGGCGTCCAAAATTCCATCAACATCAGGCAAAGTGGAAATAACCATTCTCACGTTGTTTGGCAACGGAGTCCGAATCCAGCCCAGACTGTACGCGCCATCGGACGGTGTCAGTTGATCGATCGCGTCCAAGAAGATTAAAACCCACCGTTTGTGAAGAGCACATTGTTCCAACAATGAGTAAAATGTCACGATAAGTTGCTAAATTAGAGGGTAGAAAACCGGTGTAATAAAATTAGGAAGATGCCGATTGAACTCACATTCAGGCATGATTCGTCCGTTCGTTTGCTCGCTCACTCGCCCGTCACTAACTTCAAGTACTTTACACAAGTATAAGATTTACTTCATCCGTAAATACCAGGAGAACACTTTCCTCATTGATGAACTCCAACGAGTTTTATCAACGCGGTGAGAAAGATAAGGCTATTCTAGCAACTAGTGTACATAGATAGCTGCCTGAATGCTAACCTACATATGTATATATATATATATATATATATATATATATATATTGTATTATGACCATATCATATGCCAACAGCCCATTCAAACAACTAAGACCACAAAATAATACATATTATACACGAAATTCTTGAATATTCAATGAATGTTAAATGATTTTCATTATCCCGCATGAAACGCCCATATGGTTTAGATTGTACACGTATATCCTAGCTTAAAGTTAAAGCAAACATTCCATTGAATGGGGTTTTTACGAGCCCTTATTTATCAGTAGCAGTGTGCGCTCAAGGTAGGCTTTCACTTTAGGACGCGAAGAGGAATTGGCGGTGAAATCAGTCGGTACCAAAATTACCTACTCGCTTGAACAGGGTGCCCATAATTCGAGAGCATGCTGTAGGGCAAGGACATTGATGTGGAGAACCACAGACGATGATTTATCGCGAATAATTTGAACGAATTAAGTCCTGACCAGTGTCAGCAATCATCCTGCATATGATATCTCATATTCTGTTGACAAAAGAATGAATCATTCATCCTCCAAATAGACGCTATATAATCATTTCTGTATGTTCTCTTCCTATACAATGTATACCCAAATAATTACCTGTTATTGCGCAAGTTCTGGTTTCTCAACGCAACGAACTATCATCAATCTATAAAAACGCATGAAACTTCATCCATGGAAGCGCTTTAAAATGATTATATAAATCCTTCGGAAAAAAATCAATAATACAAACTAATCAATGAGGATACCTTAATGTACACTTTACATAACCGCGGAAATTTTAAGGGTAACACAATAATTGAAGCGTGAACGGAATTGCACATTTTATAACTCTTTCAAATAGTTCTACCTTCCAGAATGAAAGACAGACTACTGCTGGAGATGAACGCGTGCAGCGTCTACCAGTTCACTTGCCTCTGTGGCGCGGTGATGGCCCGGTCGTCAAGTCACCAAATTATCACCCGTGTGTTCAAATCTTACCACCAACGCCCGAGTCCCCCGTTGTATGTCAGCCCTTTGATTGACCGCCGTCCCTGCCGGAAAATTGTTTCGTTGTGTATCCAATAGAGGGAAGTAAAGAGTTCTCCGTGCACTAAATCATCTTGTTGACTAAACGCTCCGGATACCCGTTACGCGTAAAGATCAATTTTATGGTACGGAGCTCGTCTTCTAGTGTGTCCTCGCTGCAGATCTTTCTTGCCCTATCCGCTAGGTAACAAACCAGGTTCCTTTTTACCTTCAGTGACACAAGGCTTCGGAAGTGAATGTATTGGTCTTCTCAAGTCATTTTTCTACGCACGGACCATCAGCAAACCATCTATCTGATTGACGGGTGATGCGGACATTGAGAAACGGCAATTGGTTGTTATACTCCATTTCTAAAGTAAACTTTATGTTGGAATGCGGAATGTTGAACCTGTTTATTAGTTCCATTGTGTTCGATGTTGCACTGATCACACAATAAATGTCATTTGCGTACCGTGTGTCTAGTATACAGTCTTCGATGGATGAGTGTTATTGAGTGTTTTCAAGTTTCGCTATGAATAGATCCGCGAAAAGTGGTCTCAGCGGAGACCCCATGACGACGCCATCTTTTTGTCGATAGCTCTCGTCGTTAAACCTGAACTGCACCGAAAAATCTTTACAAAAGGTTAATAAAGAACCCATATACATATACGTTCAAAAAGGAAGTAAAGATTTAAAGAAAAAAGAATGGTTACGTGGGTTGGTTGCGTCACTGACTGATCGAGTGAGAGAACACCACTCAGTTTGACTCAGTTGACGGACTATAAAAACAGTCTGGAGTGCTACTGTCATACATTTTGCCGACACAGAACATGCCACGGGTGTGCGAAGTCCATTGCGATCCAATGACGGGGCCCGGTTTGAGGATGTTAAAGCCTAGATGCTATCCACAGCAGTGGCGATAGCGATTAGAATAAATCAACCGCACCATGCGAACAGAATTAGTTCATGAAATCCGTTACCCTTCCGTAGCCATGTGTCTGAAGTATCCCCATCTAACATGCAATCAAAAACAGACACTCCGCACCGGATTGTTTTGAACTATGCGGTCCGTGGTTGAAAATCCACTCCCCCTCCCCAAACCCACAAATTCCATTCCCATTAAATATATTGAATTTATTTATTTATTTTAACTAAATACAGCGGAAAAACAGTTGTTTCTCGCAGTAAAACTTTGCAATGTTCTCCTCTCGAATGTCATTACCCTTTGCTTCCAAACTCCAAGCTAAATTGTCTGCTTCTGTTTTCTTTTTTTTCGGTGCAATCTTCTATTACGTCAGGTGGGAAAGTGTGTTCTTTTGGCCACACAAGTAGACAGTTAGTTATCTGACACGGTCCAGCTTGGCTCAATATGGGGATTGAGCAATTGCACGGACAGGTCAGACCTCAAATCAAATAACTGATATGACTGGTGTGTTTTGTTTGCACCATTTAGTTAGCAACCATCAATCGATTGTGTAGTGAGCACAGTGAAAAAGACGGGAATCACGCCCGTCTAACCCGATTTCGAAAGGGTTCATAAAGAAACGAGATCCTCCGTAGACTCTATTCTCCTCCTCTCTGTCTCTTCCTTCCTCCAACCGAGACCGGGAAAAGAATAGAAAGCCAATTACTACAGACCCAATACCCCCCCCCGCCCCGGTGATTTCAGCTACTTCCCAAGTATGGAACTAGTGTGATTCTGCTTGTCAACACAGGTCATCACAATAACCTCAAATCTTTGGAAAAATACTAACAAATAGACAATAGTAGTGAAAAAATTGTCCACATTATACAGGTTACCTGAAAATCGTCTAAACTACGTATTGCCTCGGGATCGAATTCGTTAGGGACGGAATCTTGTGATAAACAAATGGACAATTGTCGACTCAAATATCTGAGCGTTTGTCGAATTGACGAGGTTCCTGGACTAGTGCCCAAAAAGCGAACCATCACAATGGCAGATTCTCGTTNATTGGTCACTTTGAACGGTTCGGGAGTTACAGCACTCCCCGGGGAAGGACTTTGTCTAGCACTTTTTGCTCCTGGAGTTAATTGGATCAGTTTTCGTAGAAAAGCTCTGCTCCGGTGTTGAGTCAATTTGGTTGGGTCATCCGTGGCCCCTTCTTGCTCGTGTTCGGGTATCCAGTTACGAGCCAAACTGGCCGCTTTTGCCAGAACGGAAGTCTTACCACTTCCCGAGCGCCCAAAGATAATAAACGGGTCTGTAAAATGTGGCCGAGAAAAAATTCACTACATGTAATAAATACCAAGTAACGAATCGAGAATCAATTTCGTTCATAAATCTGTTTGAGATCTTTGTAAACGTCTACATTGTGCAATAGTGAAAAAAACGACATCCCGTAGAGTTTACTGAAATCTCTATCTGGAATAACAAACACCTTGTTTTTCTTACATTTTGGTTAGAGTGAGACCAATGTTTTCCTCCACTTCCACTTTTATCATAAACGATGATACTATTCGTTTTGTGCGATAACTCACACACCTGCCTAATCATGCATTATCTTTTCGCAGCGATCTAATTTCCTGTGGTCAATACAGATTTCAGCCCCCTTCTTTCCTGTTTCATCCCATTCACCGGTGATATTAGGTCATGCTGCCACCATATTACTAAAGATAACAGGTTTTCTGGTTCTTCTGACAAATCTAACCTCAGGCCACCTTGGCAAACAACCCAATGTACCTGAGTAAAATGATCAATAAAACCTGTCACCAGTAATTAAAGCTTCTTTCCCAAAAGGGTGTAGAAATTAGGATATGCGTTCGACTTTAGAACTCCAATGCATCAGTGTTTCCATCATCGAATTTCCATCAAATTCTTGCGGTATTTTTTACCCTAATAGGTAATGGTCTATAGTGATGCTGGTCACCATCACAGCACTCAGAGATCGTGTGTTCGAAATCAACCAGCATCTTCTAGCTTTCTCCGATTCGTTGTATCGTATGGTAGCCTTTTTTTGAACCCTTGGGGTCTTATAAGCGAAAACATCTATCACCAGTTTGGTTCTGATCTGTAAGTCGGGACAAACTCAAGAGAAAGGGAATTTCTTTCAACTTCCTCATGCTTTGTATCACAGGGTGACATTCATGGAACAGAGAATCTGCCTTTGTAAAACTACAACTTGCAACTGAAAACGGCAGAAATAATATTTTTCTATCCAGCGTCATAAACTACTAGCATAGAAGTGGGACCATCATTAGGCTTATTAAATGTGGTTAGCTTCCTCAATATCAAGTAAGTAGATCCGGCTCACGGTAGAATGATTTGCCGTGTTCCCGTCAGACCCGCGTGCAACCAAACGACTACACAACAGTACTAAAAGTATAACAAGTTTTAAGTACAAAACTTAACATCTCAGTGATTCGTGTTTGGGTGACAATTAAATTATAAAAATGCCTAATGATAGCCGGTGTTGAAGTATATTATTAGTACATGATGTTACAACTTAAATTTCGAATATTGGTTAGAGATGCTGTGCGCGGATCTCACGGATCTCACATTCATGATCAGAATGAACAACACTGTCCTACGAGAACTAACCGCATAGTACAATTTTAATTTTGTTTCTATATTTTTGATAATCCGGGTGCAATTTGGTCAGTCATGTGTGCGATGCAACTGGGCAGTGATTTCAAACGTTGAGACTCTTAGGGATACGATACCCGTTAATTTGAGTTCATTGGGGAAACAACAAATTTAACATACTCACAAGAATACAACTAGCTAGTTCCTCGTAATTGGAAAAGAAAATAAATATTTCATTAGATCGATATTTGAACCAAATACTCCGGTATTTGAGATTGCACTTACCGGTGGATGAGCTCAAAACATACTGTTTAATCGCATCGATGACATCCTTGCGTCCCTGGAAATTTTCCACATACGCACGACATGCATTCAAATGTTGCAATGTTTCCACATACACATCGTCATTTTCAAACGAAGACATTGAGGCTACTGTCCGGTCAATCAGGGAGGCAACTTTGTTCTCGAAATCTTTGCAAAATTTCATGGAATAAATTGATCCTAAAAAAAGTTTTAAAAATAAATCATTGCCCGTTCCGTGGGGCTAACTAGTTTGTTGGGAATTGAAAACGTACGTTCCAGTCCGTCGGATTCAATAGCCTCCCATGGAACCTCGTATTTTCGAATATCACTTTCTTTCAGAACAGCTCCCAGAGTAATGTCACGCAAATCATTGATCAATCCAAAACGTGTCTCGTCCAATTGCGGTTGTGCGTCATTGGTCATATCTAGAAATCTGAGCACATTTGTTCCGATTAGGCACGGAACGTGTGTGTGTGTGTGGTTCGATGTATATTCGGTGGGTTCGGTTAAAGTTGAACTCACTTCCAGCACTTTGGGTGTTTGATGACAGTATCCAGGTTGGATATGGTACGAATGAATGCGGCGCATCGCTGTTGAATCTGTCTGCTCGAATTCAGTAAACCTAGGATGATTTCATGTTCCGTAACTGAAAAAAAAGTGGAATGCATTGACTGAGAACATTCGCAGTTGTGTATCTTTTCATCGCATTACAGGCGGTGGTGGCCCGGTGGTAACGTCACAAAATTATCACCTGGGTAATGTGTGTTCGAATCCCACTACCACCAACGCCTGTCTTTCCCCAATGTGTTTTGTATGCTAGCCCGTTGATTGGCCGCTTCTCCCTTCTTACAAAGATTGCTTATTCATATACTCAGTAAAAGGAAGTAAAAATGATAAAAATGATAAATTGATTTAGTCCCTGCGGTTGTGGGAGCAAACAGTGAACAACCTGACCAGGAGCGACAAATTCTGTACGGCTTCCGAGCGAAAGAGGCCCCTTTAGAATCAATTCAGGTGACGATGTTGATGAGGCGGAGGTAGAGGAGGCCGAACAACGATGGTAATTGACCAGTTTGTGCCATCAATGATAGTCCGAGCTGCTTGATGATGAAACGTGGCACGTGGAATCACGGTCAATCAACTTAATAGCTATTTTGGTTTCAAGAACTCTCTAATGCTCCTGCCTTGTGTTTTGCGCATAGGACAGAACCGAACATGACTACTCCTCAACTGATTGCTCCACTGTACGATATACAAAATATATGAAAACCGGATTGTGGGCAAAAACTGGGGATGCAGTCCGATCGGTGGTGGCCAAGTGATCAAAGTCATCCAACTATTGACCCGGAAGCCCCGGGTTCGAAGCGCTCTACCACGGCCCATCTTCCCACCTTGCCATTCTCCCAGACAGCCTTTGTACGACTGAGACCGCTTTTCTGAAAGTTAACTGTACATTTTTATTTATAATTAAAAAATTGAAAAGGAAGTGGAAAAAACATGTTTGTAATTGATACTGCCCATCAACCAAATCCGTATGTGCTCACTAGTCCTTAACTGCACCGCAGTTACCCTCCAAAAGAACCACGGCCTTCTAACACAGTAGAATCTGGAAAAATATGGTGTTTCGTTCACTTTCACTTTCTAATTGCCGATTTCCGTGCGTTTGTGAATCAAACCACATTCGAAGGAAGGAATGAATGCCGCCTGTCGATGATCAGGCTGAACAAATGTGTTTCCAATAGCTTTATCGATCGAGACAATTAAGATTCCCGGCAGAACAATCGCTTAACGCATGCATAAGGCTCGGGCGTTTTGCCCTGAAGTTCTAGGTATTCGTGTTTACGTAGGTCGTCATCATTCAAGCCCAATCTGTTCGTTCCAATGTCTGGCTTAACGCAAATGGAAATCTCTTTACCCCGGTAAGCACTAACAAAATCCCGGAGAATATTCTGATTGCACGGTATGATAATCTTTTGTTCTGCCAACTTGGATGAAAATGCCCCGCCGTAGTGATGTAATTTAAACACTAGTTAAAGTACGTCAGCAGTTACAAAACAAAATATAATAACACTATTTAAGTAAATCTCATTACTATGAAAATTATTTGTTATGCATATATGTTTATCGAATAAATTGAAAAGAATTTCCTAATCTTTTTTTTCTGTCTCTTCTGACGAGTAAAGTGAGACAGGTTTTAAGCTTCAACAACTGCCATACCCAGGCTGGCAATCAAAACTTTCGGTGAACTGATAAGATTGCACACTACCGTTTACGTATCACAGGGATTCGTGGCGTGTGGTATATACCGGACATCTTGATTATCTTTTTCATTATTTTGTTCGCCAAGAACGAAGTGCATCAAACGCAATAAATTTTATTATCGCCTACCTAAAACGAATGGTTTGAAGTGTTCTGTCTTTTTGTTCTCCTTCTGTATTTCTCTTTCAACCAATTGATATGTTTGTGTCGTATCTTTGAATATTCTTCTCAAAATAAGTGGTATGAGAATGACTGGCCGAAATTTCCCTGGAAGCACACGACCGGTTTTGCGGTTCTTGCCACTCGCCAGGCATACGTATCGGGTAATCCTTTGTCAATTCATTCATAAACCTGTACCCAGGAATTGTATTTTCGCCACAATAAATTTGGTTGCAACATCGGGTGACTTTTGGATAGACGGAACTTTCAGAGCCAGTTCATTGAAGAAGCAGTGCTATGATTCAATGTTTTGTAGGTCGGTTAGATTCTACTCACCGCAACGAACCTGACTTGATAGTCTTTATAGAATATTTACTAATAAGTAGTATGTATTTATAGATGTATAAAACAAATTACAAAGGACCTATTTGTGTAAGGAATGGACAATGAAAAATGGATTAAAAAACTCCTATGTACGACCACCAGTTATGGTGATCTTCTTCTTGCTGTTTCCGTTCCGACGAAAGACACGAAGAAGACTAATGTGAATAGCCGCTTCCCTGTCGTCAAAAATTCAGTATCTATGCAGACCAGTTCGTCTACCCTTATAGACAGGAAATCCTGATACCATGTTTTAGTCGACACGTCCGCTCTACTCGGACTGGTGTGATAGGTTTGTGGTCATCGATTTTTCTGAGGAATATATTTCTGATCTAATTTTCGATTTCTTTTTATAAGTTTGGCAAGCAAATATGATCAATAGATAGTGACGAATTTTTGCATCATGCGCACCCAATTAAGCTAACGGTTACTTGAAAATGTCTATTTTACTTCTTTTTTCTGTTTTTTCAATATTCTAATTTACAGTTTACTTTCAGGAAAGGGACTGCGACTATAAAAAGGCTGGCTGAGGAAAATACAGATACAGGGAAGACGGGCGGCGGTGGAGCGGGTTTGAACCCGGGACACCCAGGTCACTATTCAGTGACCTAACACCACTTGGTCACGACCGCCCATTGCAATACGCAACAGATTTCCCCATTATTAAATGACATCCTGTTTAAGGGAATTCCTCAGTAAATATGTGCACCACGACCCCACCCCCGTTGGTGCAGGCTTTGTTGTTATTATTTTTTTTTTCTAGCTGCCCATTGAGAATCACGATCCTTTGCCAGCCTATTTTCCCCATTCATATGTTTACCCGCTTCAAAAGAACGTGGCATAGAAAAACTTTTTTCGGATGAGTTTCAATTGATGAAATAAATCATGACAGATTGTGCAATGACAATTGAAAAACAAAACAAAAAAAAAAGATGCAAACACAACAGCTATCACTCTAGTACACAAAGCGCGTCAAAATCAGTCGTCAGATCAAAAAGAGAGAGCTTTCGATTGTTTCATTCAGGCAGACTAATTTCGACCCCCGCCCCCTGCCCCCCTCCACCTCCGCCTCCCTTCCTCCAACCCATCTACCCACACTCCTCATCCGATGGAATCATCAGGGCAACACGTTCAGAAGGCCTTTTTAACGAATCGGAGAAAAACAATGGGATGAGCAAAAGAGTATGGCACAGATTTCGAACGGCAGAAGTAATAAGTATGCTGAATATATTGAAATAAAAAGCCGGAATAAATGATTCAAATAAAGTTTGAAAAATCTGATATTTTGACTAATTAATTCGGTTGTTCAAGTATTTACCAGATTTTCGGGATTATTTGTACTGTAAAATCCATCGCATGTTGTATGTAATACAATAACACATTTGTAATCTTTTCATCTATACCGGAGTTATTCCGAGCAGTCAACTGCCTCACCCACTTTTATTCTACAGTGTATCCCAACCCCCTACCCATCCATAATCTGTTATTTTTGTTGTCCTGTTGACATCAAGCTTTCTCGCAAGCCACTGATTATATATGCACAAATATATATGTTGCAAATAAGGTTATTGTGACAAAAACACACTTCCTGGATTATGAATAAATTGACAAAAGATTACCGGATACGCACGCCTGACGAGTGGCAAGAACCGCGAAACCGATCGTGTGCTTCCAGGGAAGTTTCGTCCAGTCGTTCCTATACTACTTTTATGAAAATTCATACGCGAGGATTGTATTCAACTGGATTTTATTAAAGCAAATCACCGAAAATGTGTTGAACAACTATCCATGTTCCAAAAGCACCTTGAGAGAAACAGTCATCGCTTAATTTCATAATTTGGTCCGGAAAAACACTTGGAAAAATGTCGCTAAAACGGTTCTAAATTTTGGGTATCAAGCTTGGATTAGTCCATTCACGATTGTTCAGAGGCACCAGGCACTCTTGATGGTGGTGAGTGCCTGGTGCCTTTGAACAATCGAATGGGCTAATCCAAGCTTGATAGTCTAAACTGATTGAACCATTCGCACAAGGTCGACCAGTGCTCGTTGTTGGTTATCACAAACATTTCCATCTCATTTAAGTTACAAGTTTTGTTTTTCTTTTTAAAACCTTTCTACCACATTTAGTTTAGTTTATTTACTTCAATGCAAACTAAGGAATACTTGATACTGGATAAATCTTGTTCTAAGCACTCAGAAAGAATTCAAATTCCTAATGATGATAGGAGTGTATCGAAAAATCGATGCACCATGTGTTGTTTTATCGTGAATGTTATTGTTATAGTGTTAATAACACAGCGATGTCGGTAGAGAATTTTATTCGCCGACGTTTCGGTTACCGTGGGTAACCTTTCTCAAGGCAGGTTTTACAACCAAATGACTCAGAGGAAGGCGTTACCTCGTCAGTGATGTACAAACATTCATGAGAAAGTGCCACCCGAACAGTGAAAAACGTTTGAACATCAAAAACACTCGAGTAGGAAATACGAAGGTTCGAAGTCACTAGTAACAATTGAATGTAACAGAGGGAAAGGGGCGAAAAACATGCTGAGGGATCGGAAACACGGTGACAGCTCTTCCATGGCAAGGTGAGGGCAACATGACAGAAACCAAGGAGCAAGGTAATCTAATGTATCAAGCCAAATCATTCTCATCACAGTATCGTTTCAAAGGGATCAAAACTAGAAACACATCAGCATCCTCAAGAACATACTACGCCGCTTCATTATTCGTAATCTATAAAAACACACAAAGTGTCTAATGAATCCAACTTGGATAAGCCAGGCCCTCAAGCTGTCTTCTCATGTAATGCCCTTTCTCATTGCACTTGCGGTAGTAAATATATCCCACAAACTGACAGACTTGTGTCTACCAGGACCTAAGAAAACATGCTCCTCAGAAACTTAGCACTGAGTGATCCAACTTAATATTCCGGGTCTTCAGCTATCGTATATTGGTCGCAAGGCACGACACCCAACTACCGGATCAAAGAGCATTAACCATGACAGGACATACCGGATCAATAAACAACTCCGTCCTAGTCCACTTAGTCGACAATGAGTCTCAAATAAATCCGCCCGTCGCTTTCAAAGTGTTCAACTGCGATCCTTTGGCAATCGCTGAGGGGATCAAGATAAGACCCCTGACTTCGGCTTCTAAAAGCGTCCTTTTCAGTTATTCCAACTTCTATGGACCGTGACTGATAAGCCACGATTGCTTCCGACGTTCGATCATCCAAAGACCGTAAGCTAGTTATGCCAGTCAGATGATAAAAGCACGATGACCATGACAAACTGGTACCCATGATTGTTAGTTTCGTGTCTAACTATGTATGATCTGTTATCCAGTGTCCTCTAGTGTTGTCGATCTAGCCTGTAAACGCTTAAGAATGCATTATTAAAATACAATTCTTCCGCCAAATTATGTTTGTTCAAAACACTGTAATGGTTTTCTTTCAGAGAGTAATTTTATTAGTCAGCTCATCTCAATAAAAATCTATTATCGCATTGCACTACTCACAAGTAACTGAATCAAATGCCACATTTTATTGACACTGTCTCTCACCGGAACAGGAGAATTGTTTGGCTTCAGTTTGATTCATCGCTCCGTTGCTGACCAGAACTGGAATGACTTCAGAGAACAATTGTTGCAGACAATCCTGTGCTTCATACCACATATTCTGAGATTTTTTGATAAATTCTTTGTCCATCTATATGCAAAAAAGTGGAAAGGTAAAATAATGTAATCGTGTGTAAAGCCGAAATCGACTTTAGAACCCAGATTGGAAATGTGGTTTGAACTTTTCTCTGAACGAATGATGCGCACAGGATAAAACTATCCACAATTTTTATGTGCAAATTTTACGTTCATCTATACGATGTGCAATATAGAAACAAGCTTGAATAATGATAAGTTCCTTTCAGTATAAATACCACTAAAACGAGAAATTACGTCGAAGGTGCTGGGGTTATAACTTACAAATTATGAGACAAGGAATTTGGGATTTGAAAGGTATTCCTGGTAAAAATCATTGTAGTGGTTGATGGCTTTCTCGGGTTTAAACAATTTCCGTGGGCCATAGAGACACTACAGTGAAGGAACTTTTTTCGTTCGCTTATNAATATAAAGCATTTAAATGAACAATTAAAGCAAAACTGATTCGTTTTTAAATCTGGCCAATTCAGCCAAAACGTTTTGAGATCCGAAAATTATGTGAAGTTTTCAGGCGGGAACATGGCTGAAACATTTCGCAGATAGTCAGTTCTTACAAATCCTTCCACTTCGTTCCTCTTGCTGAGTGTGTATTGAGGATCATCAAAATTTGTAACATAGCTAGGTATTTTTTACAACTGATTCGCTTGGGTGTGTACTTCATTACCTGAGTATCTCCTACTAATGAGTAGGCAAAACAAAATCGATTCTCTAAACAGTTTATTTCTCAATTGCGAAATGTATCTGATCCTAGCATTTTCATTATTCATTTGACATGTTTTTATGTGATACATCTCATTGTTCGCCCACATCTAAATCATCGCGCCACACCGGTTTCCGCAGGGTGTGCATCTGGCTTATCACATCCCGGTTTTGGTACTTTTTCACCGTAACTATTTCATTCGCAATGTTTTTCAGACAAGCGAAGTGGGCGAGAACATGTGTTCGGCTTCCTCCAGGAACGTGTCCGTCTTCATTCTTGAAGATTGTGTGTGCTGCAGGTGCCCGATCGCCCCACTGAAAGAAGGCTCTTCCCCCGCCTCAGCAGTCGATATTCCAGTCCCTAGAACACCAACCCCAATAGTGACTGTGACCTTTTTCGTATGCTGACGCTATCGTCACACCTTCATCGGCGAAAAAAACTGCTGAAACCGCACCGCGGCGGAAGCAGCCGAAGAAGAAGCTATCAACTGTTAGAGTGACCCCACAAACGGACTCCTCTCCTTCGACCTCCATGGTACCCAGGCAGCATGCATGTAACCTATCTCGTCCAACTGAGAAGTGACCCTGCTTTTCCTAATAGCCTGTGCAGCAAAGAAAGTCTCCGTTGTGATCATAGTACGTCACCGTTGTGCATCTTTCGGGAGTTGAGACCACCACTGCTCCGATCCGATTGAACTATGGCCTACAGTTCCTGCGGTCGCATATAGTGAAGCTGTTTGCAGGTGACGAGGCAGCAATCCGGGTGATAGTGGGTTTCAGGCTGGGAAAGATTTTCTATGAACGCTGTAAGTGGTTCTTCAGACAGAGGATGAAGCCAGGGTGACACTTAGATGAACCTTTAAGCTGAAGGGGGCTCCGATAAGAGTCCTTCAGGATCTTGATCCGGATCAGCGTCGTAAACTCCAAACTGCGTTGGAGGCACTCGGAGGGCACCAAGAGCAAGTTGAGACCGATGTGTGCATACGGGATTTTCGGGTACTGTTAAGACGGAGTGCACAGAATCCATCCTGTTACGCAGCGACCCGCGTCACACCACAAGTGCGCTCGTGACGCCCAAGCCGAATAGACTCCTGATTGGATGACTAAGGCGAATCAAATAGCTGTCGTCCGATCGATCAACCTGAGTGTTAAGGTCGTGATCTGATTGGCTCGTCATTACGTCTTTTCGCTTACGCCTAATTTACCAGACATTTGATTGTTGTTTCATGATCAAGAATATACTCTGACTGTCATTTCTCAACAGTGTTCTTTCTCCAGTTGTTGGGGCCTAGACAAAGAGGCGCACGTGTCGATCTTACGTCTTGGCATAAGACATAACAGGTACAACGGAAGTGCCGTCAGCTGTGCTGGATAACTGTGACCGGTAGGAAGACGCAGCAGACTGTTTGACCGTGGACGAGGAAATCAGGTGGAAGCATAGATGGCGGGGTAACAGTCTTGTACTAGCCTTGGCCAATTTTCAATCGCTACCTGGCAAAAGGGATGATCTGGAAGATTGGAGTATATCAAACCTGATCTCTTTGCCGTTACTGACGTCAGCGATTGTGAGATATCACTCGATGGTTTTACCTTGTACCGAATGGATCGACCATCATCACACCACGGTGGCAGAGTTATGGTTTTCGTCGGTCTAGGAGTCGCTATCTGACTGCTGGAGATCTACTCTGATCCGGAAGGATTTAGAGAAACACTGCTGTGAGGAATTAAGCTTTGTGTTGTAGGATGCATCACAGAAGATGATATCCACCGAACGCGGCGGTGTACGGCCCAGAGCTGCTAACCGGCAGGCCTGTGATGGGCATTTTCTTGTCTTCGGAAAGTTCAATGCATCTTATTTTGATTGGGCCAATTACACCTATCCTCAGTACTCAGATTTGTTTTCCAAAGAGCTTCATTTCATCGTTTATGCTCTCTCGCTAGTTCAGCATGTCCGTGAGCTCGCCCGGATCCATCCTTGACCTGGTGATCTCTCTAAGGCAGTTAGATGCGACCAGGATTAACCTCCTCAAATCGATTGCATCTATTGATCAGTCTGCTTTATGAATCACATGGAGGCGTAGTGTATCTCACGCAGACAGACCACAAGATAAACGAAGTGTATGTGGCATTCATCTTTTCTCGGAGATGCGTCGAGCTGCATCATTCGTTATATTGGATTCCCATAACCTTGAGCATGTGGACCTTGGGATTTGTTTCTTCACGGAATCCATCAATTCATGCAAGAATTCTCTCCACCCCAAGCCACCCAACACATACCACAGCCCCACCGTCGTTTGATCGGGAATTGATGAGGTTCCGGCGGCAGCGAATAAAAGCCTGGTCCAGGTATCGCATAACAGGCATGGAATATAAGGTATACGGACTCATTTGGAAGCAGTGTAATGTACACTTTACAGTGGACTCAGTACCAAAGCGCCAAAGCGGCTGTATGTTTATCTCAAGCAGTGAATCAGAGCTATTTACGGCCTTCCGACTCTCGTCAAAAACGGGATGGCTGCTGAAAACGATGAGGACAAGGCCGCGCGATGTTAGCACCACATTATGCTTAGTTATTTACCCCGGACCCCGACCAGTCGTCCGATCTACTTGGTGCTGACAATGCCTCCAAAATGGACGCACTTTACCATTGAGAACGTGGCCTTCAAACTGCGTCGACTGAAGGTTCACTAGTGGCCTGGACCTACTGATGTACAGCTGCTTATCTCGAAGAAGCTGTCAGACGAACCTGCGGTGTCGTTATGCAATCTGTCCAATAGGTCTTTCACTCAAGGACGTTTACCGCGGCAGTGGAGGAATGCTGTCATTGTGACAGTGCTCAAATGTGGGGAATGAGTGACTCCGGTAATTACCGACCAGTCAGTCTTAACAGTGTGTTAGGTAAAGTAATGGAAAGATTGGTGGCTGCACGGCTTCAGCAGCAATTGGTGTGCTACGTANNNCACGTGTACCATCAACACAGGTACCCCATGCATCATGAGACTGCTACTGATTCGTGAATTCTGAGCTGACGACAAGGCTAAAGGACACTGAACGCACATCACCTATGTGGACGTCAGTAAGATCTTTTATAGTGTCACTTAACTGCCTTTTGCGAAAGCTGATCAACCTCGGAGTAGGTGACACCATGCTGAAGGGGTTAAAAGACGTATTTAAGGATTCCTTCCGTCCACGCTGGACACCACCGCTGGGTGTCACTTGAAACTGCGCATTACTGATTGTACAATCCACTTCACATTCAGGCTATCGATTGGTACAGCTGATACAGCTAATGAGAGCGAAATATAAAATAACCACGGTAAAATGCTTTATTGTATGATTGAAATTACGTACACCAGATCTACCTGTACTCTGTTCAAAACCCATCAATTCATGTGCGTTCCTAACCACTTCCCGGCTTGATAATCTTTTTTCCCCCCGGATCGGAACTTGCCACATTCCCTTTCCATGACCATTTAGTTTGCTCTTTTCCGAATCCCCGCTATGGTTATCTAACTGTCTCACATATCAACTTTCGTATCAATTATTGTGATCCGTTCTTCGTCCTACTTATTATCGTAATCTATTCCCTTCACCCCACATGAAAACTGTGTCGTAGTACCTGTCGTCACTTGTTCTGCGCTCAACTTATTATCGTTATCTATTATCTCTATCCGGCATAAAAACTACCTCGTCTGATTTGTGGCCACCTGTTCAGTACCCATCCTGTGCGCTTATCCTACCGTGTTCACTGTTGTCACTCGTTCACTGTTCATTCTTTTCTTGCAATCATTTATTTCTTGACTCACATGCTATGGCCCGCCTTGTATGCTTAACCACCCCAGACACCTTCCTCGTGTCCGTTGTGTATTCTTTCAATTACACCGTGATTAAGGTTGCCCCCCCCCCTCACATCCGCCTTTGGTATCGAACAACTCGAACATATACCGTATGCTCCACCAAATTCAAGGAAAGGCGTGTGTTGAGTATCTACAGGACCGGTATTTACTGTCCAGAATATGTACCTGTGCATGCGATCTCACAATAAACTGGCAGGAGTTTTCACGCAGCCAGGATGGTTCCATTTTTCGGTGAACATGTTGCAAGAAGACAACTTCTATTCGTTCTGGAACATTTTTTGAGAANCCAGGCTTCCATTATCGACTCTGATGGAATCAATTTGCTACTTCTTGATGGAGGAACCGGTTACACGTGCCGCTGCTATGGCTAATGTTTCATGCAAACGTGTCATTCAGTGATACAAATACTGCAGAAATATGTGCTCCTCTGTGGTGCGCTCATTAGTTACGCAACTCGGCGATGTTGGTGCCCTCGTCGAGGTGAATGAAAGTATTGCTGTAAAAAGTAAATACGTTCGAGGTCGTCCGACACCAACTGGTTGGAAGTTCGGAATGTACGATCGTAATTTGAACAAAGGATACTTCCTAAGAGTGGAGAACTGGTCTGCGGAGGTTTTATGGCCCATTATCAAACGTCGGATCCAGCCGGGAACCACCATTTACACGGATCAGTGGGCCGGATATCGATCATTGTGTTCACTTGGTTGTATACACACGTTAACCACAACGACGGTTTCGTGACCCTCATTACCAGTGTCTACAGGAATCATGTGGAATCTTTTTGGAGTCATATCAAAAGGTGATTGAAAAACGTTACCGGGTCAGCTGGGGAAGCTATATGGGAACATCTCGATGAAGCATAGTACCGTATGTGGTTCAGTTTTTCCGTAAAAACATTTAATAATGACATTGACACTAATTTACAACACGTCGCGCTGTTATATCCATGTTAAAAGCCATTTACTATCATTATATAATTTTTTCATTATTATTTCAGTTTTGTTGTTGAGTGGATGTAATTTATACTGCTCGTGAGTAGTACATGTTTTATTTAAGAAAATTGCTACTGGAGTTGCCGGGTATTGTATTGTATTGTATTGTATTGTGTATAACTTTTGCAAGCACTGGAGCTCACATTTCAGTTAAAAAGTCATACACGCTAACCGTCACAATGTACATAATCAACGGGGAGAAAAGTTTTCACAGGCATGGGGACATTCATAATCCAAGGTGAAGACAAAGTTCACTTATTATTCGCTCTTTGTGAGTAGACGAGCAAGATATGGTATGGGTGAATTGCGGTATACATTAATTCGGGATGAAATTTGGTGGAAGTTGGAGCGTGTTGAATGATGGGAATGACAAAGTGGCAGTTCTGCATGCAATGGGTGGTCCGGATCTGCGAGAATCCTCTCGGCAAATTTCACACAGGAAGTTACGTGATACTCGGAAAGCTTTACAGCTAGTTCATTCATAGGAATGGAAGAGACATGACTGATAATGGTTAGACCGCGTCGTAAGACTTTGAAGTCGTGTTTGGAAAAATAAACGGGGAACAGTAGAGTAAGATGGGGAAAACACATTGATAAACAAAAGTAGAAATACCTGACTGGGATGCGCGAAACTGCTCTGAGCTTTCGTATTTGAAATGAACGGCGTCGCAGTTTACCAATGCAGTTGTGGATGTGGGTTTCAAATTAAAGGTGTCGCAGTTTACCGATACAGTTTTGCATGTGGGTTGACCAATTAAGACTGCTATCTATGGTTACACCAAGATATTTGACAGAGTAACAAGGGCCCAAATAAAAGACTGATTATGAACTCACAATTTGATGAGCTTCTGCGATGGGTTTCAACTGATACACCGGTAATGTGTTGTTCATCTCACGCACGTACCAATCCTGAAGTGCGTCCAAATATTTCGATGACTCTCCGTACATTTGTTTTGCTCCATCGATTAGCAGTTTCCGTTGATCCGTACTTATGGTGAACGGTATCTCAAATTCACTGTATCGTTGACCCAATAAGGTCTGAGGACAAATATGATGAGTGTGAATGTGGCCGAGGGTGCAAACAAATTACAATGAATGGGGGACCGACCGAGATAGATTTGCACAATTCCACCTCATCGTAGCATATCTGTGGACCGAGATGATCTAGTTGACTGTCATTTGGTACACCCCAACGCATATCAACCGCCTGTGAAGGGATGTGCAAACCAAGGGGAAGAAAAAAGAATTTTGTCCAATTACTAATACA